TTTCTCTTCAAAGAACTTGGCAACTTTTCGGATTGGATCTCGAATTTTGACGTTACCAGCCTCGATGTCCTCGGCGATCCCATCATCTAGCGGTTCAGCGATCATGGTCAGTTTGTTCTTCTTGTTAGGCGTCAACGCGTAGCACATGATAGCGCTCGTCTCGGTCACGGTTTCGCAGAAGCGAGTGACAGGATCCGAGACTTTGATGTCCATCTCCGCATATAGCGTTCGCAGGTCATGTAACACACAATCCATGTACAGTTCTCCTGTTCCTAGGACAACGTGCTCCCCAGACTCCTCGACTTTCGTGGTAATCAACGGATATGACTTGTTGATCTTACGCAAGCCTTCGAGCATCTTGGGAAGTTCGGATGGATTAACAGGTTCAACTGCGACTTTAAAGACGGATTCTGTGAAGTGGCGTATCGGCTTGAAAATGTAAGCATCCTCGTTCTCTGGGAATTTCTCGGAAACAACCGTGGCTGTCTTGACGATAGAGTTGTCGATTCCAGATAATAGCACGAGATTTCCTGCAGGCACGCCCGAGACGGGTATGTTGTACCGTGAGCAGGCGATCTGCACGCCCATAATAGTCGCCGTAGACGAATCTTCCTCGTCTTCGAGACTGTATGCCTCTCCAAGCACTCGAACCACCTGATCCGGTGATGCTGTACCAGACATAATGCGACCAAAAGCATTGAACGTTTTGGCATCTGTTGAGCTGAAAAGTTTTGTGACCTCAATAACCAAGGGCCCGTCTGAGTCGCATTTTGTCATCGACTCACCGACCTTTGATTCTAGGGAACCTGTGTAGTAATTGTCGAGCATTCTTCTTGCGCCATCGACAGGCGAAGGTACGTGCTGCACAACCATGTCGACGAAACCACTCGCAGGCCCAAAAAACTGAGCGCAAACCAGTTTAAGCAACACTTTGGCGTCTGACTTGAGCTGCGACGGTTTGAGTGTGATACCCAGCGTCTGTAGAGTCGGCGCCAGGTCTTCAGGGCTTTCACTGATGGTGTGGGAGTATAGCTTGTAAATGGGCTCCAGCACGAAATTCACAAATGCTCTCTTTGCTCCCTCTTCCATCCCTTTCCGCGTAAACTTTCGACTTCGAGGGTTGAAGAAAATATCCCCCCAAAGCCTTCTGGCAAACTCGGCAGCGTCGACCTTGGGGTAGGTTTCGGCGTACATCTTTGCAAAGGACGGTAACGTGAACACCCAGTCCATGGATGTGCATGCAAAAGCCACATTGCCCTTTTCAGGTGACAGCCGCCGCTTTTCACCACGGCCTGGAATGGTGTTCTCAATGACTGTGTTAACCTCCTCAACAACGTGTTTTAGTTTGAAGTATGCGTCTGTCGGTGGTATTTTCAGTTCGAGGATTAGGCGGTCCATTTTGTTTATGATCAAAACCATCGGTATGTCCTCCAGAACGGCGTGCTTGATGACTTGCTCGGTGTTGACCTGGACACCTTCTACCACATCAACGACGAGCACCACACCGTCGACCAGTCGCAAGCTCGAGGCTACCTCGTCCACAAAGTTCACATGTCCGGGTGTGTCGATAATGTTGAGGATGTGCGATTTCCCTTTCGTGCCTTGCATGACCATACTGATCGGCGCAGCCTTTATAGAAATCCCTCGTTCTCGCTCCAGGAAATGTGTGTCGGTATATCTCAACTGTTCGTCCCTCCTCTTGCCTACCCTCTTATCCAATCTCTCTTCCAAATCATGTGTCTGCATGACCAACATATCCACGAATGCCGTCTTGCCATGGTGTAAATGTCCTGCCACCGCAATATTTCTGATACCTTCGGGGAAATTTAGGAGATCGGTCATGAAGTCTCTCGAGTAGTGGACCGGAGGGAGGTCTGCTTCCTGCACCTGGAACTTCTTCTGCGTGACGGGCGCAATGATCGGCTGCGTGAGCGGCTGCGCATCCTCTTCCTGCACTAAAGTCTCGACTTCTTCCCCGTACACCTGCTGTGCCGTGGGGTAGTACTGTTTGTCCTCGTGTAATATCACAGCATTGGAGGGTCCTTCGTCATCAACTTCCATAGCCTCATCCGCTGGAGCTTGTTGCTCTGGTTCCGACTCCTCGTCGTAGACATAGTGTTGGCCGGCGGCGCCATCTTGAGAAGCCTCTTCGTCGGAGGCGGCTTCGCCGATGAAGTTGCCAAACCTGCGTCAACTGTCAACTAAATATCCATTTGCATAGGCTCTCGTGTACGACTTACTCGTCATAGAGGTCATCCATATCGATTGATGAGTTGCTCGAGGTAGAGAGTTCGCGGCGCAAAATGAAGCAAATTCCCTGAACTGCGGAGTTCAAAATTTAAAGTGGAGTTGCCATTTCCAACGCAGGCCGCAGCCTCGTCCAGCCTCGTCCATTCTTGCATGTATGTAATTCTCACCCCTTATCCGCAATTGCGCGGCGGGGAAGGCTGACATCGCAAAACGACTCACTTAATCAACATCGATTGCTTTTCAAGGGTACAGCAAAATCCCCTGATTGATTTTTATTCAAGTATTGGTGATTGAATCGTATCTGACCATCCGCCCCGAACCGGCGAGAATAACAGGCAGGAACACGCTTTTAGAAGCAGACCATACACCAGCTCTCCTCTGAAGCCTTTTTGACGATTCGTACTCCGCTGATTTATGTCCCGTAGCAATTTGGCGGCGCCGTTCATTTACATCAAAGATTCGAGCACCAGAGCGCTCGCCCCACCACCGCCGTTGCAGATGCCAACACATCCAATCTTGCCTTTCTTCGCCTTCAGGACACCGAGGAGTGTTGCAATAATTCTCGCCCCTGAAGCTCCTAGAGGGTGACCGATGGCGACGGCTCCACCGTGAATGTTGACCTTGTCCGCAGACAGCCCGAGCAGCTTCATGTTGGCGAGAGCGACAACGCTGAATGCCTCGTTGATCTCAAACGCGTCCACATCCTCCTGGTTGACACCGGCGTGTTTCAGGGCCTTCGGTATGGCGAGTGCAGGGGCGGTGGTGAACTTGCTTGGCTGTTTGGCCGCATCACCCCAGCCCAAGATCTTCGCCAGTGGTTTGATCTTCAATTCCTGGAGCTTGGCTTCTGAGACAAGGACTACCGCTGCGGCACCATCATTGAGGGGCGAGGCATTGGGAGCAGTCACGGTGCCGCCATTCGGGATGAATGCTGGCTTAATTGAGCGGAGCTTCTCGGCATTCAGATTCTTTGGCTCGTCATCTTTGTCGACTGTGACGCCGGGTTTTCCTCGAACAGCAGGCAGCTGAACAGGAGCTATCTCGAAATCGAAGAGGCCATCCTTCTGTGCAGCTTGTGCTCTCTGATATGACTGGATTGCGTAGTCGTCTTGCTGTTCTCGGTTGAAGCCATGATCCTTAGCACATTCTTCGCCTTGCATCCCCATATGCTCTTGTTTCCCATATGCATCTGACAGTCCGTCTCTTAAGACACCATCGACCAATGTCTGGTTTCCGAATTTGGCTCCCGTCCGCATGTTGGGAAGATAGTGAGGGCAATTCGACATGGACTCTGCGCCGCCGGCCACAACGATGTCCGCATTGCCAGTCATAATTGTTTGCGCCCCGAGAACGATGGCCTTGACACCCGACGCGCAGACTTTATTGACGGTTGTACAGACAGTCGACTCGTCTAGGCCAGCACCTAGAGCGCATTGGCGGGCAGGGTTCTGGCCGACACTGCGGAGCGTTTAGAACGGATCGCAATGGGGATTGCAAGCATGTAGAACTCACTTTGCTGACAAGACATTTCCAAAGAACACTTCTTCCACATCCTGAGGTTTTATCTCCGGAACTCTTTCGAGGGCAGCTGTATTCAGTCAATATACTACAGGCGATTGGAGGGTGGTGTTTGGGGGCGGGGGTGGGGGGAAGGACCTTTGATGGCATGAGAACCGAGTTGCGGAGCTGTCAGTGAGGATAACGAGCTGGAACATGTCAGTGCTACTGAACAGGCAAAATGCGCGTGGTCAATACCCGAGAAATGACCCAACAGGTGTTCGTGCTACAGCGACGATGTAGACTGAGGGGAGGGAAGGCTTAGGATGTGGGACGCCGTTAGTAGCCATGGTGTGATAGGATGTAGACTTTCGCAAAGCAAAGAAACGAGGTTCAGCAAAATGTATATGAGGTTTCGCTCAAGTCAACGACTAGTATTCAGGACGTTTGTACATGGAAAGGCACAAACACAGGAAGACAAATAGTTTTGTTGATTGGAATCTTTGAATCCCCAAAATTCTAGTGTGGAGAAGGATGCATGTAACTAACATATGGTGCCACCTCGGATGTCTTCACCGCTGTGGTGGCTGTGGACAATGTTAATTAGCGAGGCTACGAGGCTGGATCCATACCTGCAACGTGCTCCGAATGTTCACCACTTACCTCGTACTCTTCGGTGACGCCTTGTCTCAGCCATGGTACGAGATGCTCGTAGACTGGTGTAAGCTGCCCCCCTGACTTTCACCGTCGCATCGAACCCCTCTAAAGAGACTGCTTTCTACATAAGTTGTGATCTCACCCGAGCACGGCAGTGACGTTTGCCTGAGAGATCGAGTGTGAAGCCGATGTTCATGCTTCATGGTCTATCTAGTAAGTGAGTATTTACAAGAGAGTACGAAGGCCGCTATGACCCTCATCAAGTCGCGACACAAAAGGTCTGGCAGAATTGTAGATCCCGTAGTACATTTTCACCTGTGAGTGACTCTCTGATATCTCCCCCCAACGACTGTTTCTAAACATGACCTTCATTCTCTCTTCATAAGAACCCAATCAAGGTGCAAATAAAACCTCCCTACCCGCTCTTGTCTATCTACCTGACTTATTGGCTAGAGCGTCGCCCGGCTGGATGATGTCGGTTGTAAAAGACTTCTAGGTCCCCATTCGAGAACCTCTGCGCCTCTTGGTCGAAGACATTAAGTAACAGATCCGTCAACAGTCTTACGATCTGCTAACATACGTCAACAGCCACGAGCATGGCAGATATCGATACGGCCAATGCCGCTTTGGCAGTCCAACTTGAGCTACAGGATCTAGAAACGTCCCTGACGACAAGTAACAGCAATGAAGAGAAGGCTCGAATCCGCGACCGCGTCGCTACCCTTCACTTCCAACTTGAAGAACTTGCGATATTCGATACCCAACAAGCAAACGTGAGACTACAGCAGAGTATCTACCGAGCCATGCTCTCAGACTTCCCGGAAGTTGACCGAATACTCGCACAAGAAACGCATGCCACGAACGGTAATCAAAATCAACAACCCGAACAGAGAGACAACAACTCAGCCACCAGAGTCGTGGGCAAAGATGGATACTACGAGGACCCCCGAATTCAACCCGATGGAAGTACTAGTCTAGAAGCATACGTACACGATCTTGAGGCTGACGAAGTTCATTCATCGGCAGAGTGCTACGCTTGCATGGGAAATACCCCATATTCTCAACTCATCAGTCATGAAGAGTGCGAGCATCTCTGGTGCCGTCCGTGTCTGTGGGAACGTTTCGAGTTGGTTTTGAAGAACGAGAGCCAATATCCTGTCCGATGCTGCCGGAGACTTCCCACTATCTCCCATCAAAATCCCACCATTGTACGACTTCTGGGAGAGGAAACAGTCGCCAAGCTGGAGTTGAAGATCAAGGAATATACCACAGCCGATCGGACGTACTGCCACGACCCTACTTGCTCGACATTCATTGACCCAGACACGTTCGCAGACAGAATGGCCACTTGCCCCTCGTGTCAGAAACACACCTGTGTGATGTGCAAAGCCGAGTTTCACTCCCTCCCCACCTGCAAGGAATCGCAGGATAGGGCCTTCAACGACTGGGTAACGGCGAATGAAGCATCGACATGCCCCAACTGTCACCGTGTGATCATCATCTCGCACGGCTGCAATCATATGAGGTAGGTGGTTGACCATAACACGACCAAGGATGTATACTGATGCCCTTCACAGGTGTCACTGTGGAACGGAATTCTGCTACAATTGCAATGCTCCCTGGAAAACCTGTCAATGCCAGCAATGGCGTGAAGATCGCCTCATCCAGCGGGCTGAAGCCATCGCCGTACTTCAGGATCGGACCGCCGATGTGCAGCGAATTATCGCAGAAATCGTGGGTCAGGGTGAATGCCGTCACGACAACTGGACCAGGGTTGGGGTATACTCTAGTGATGATGACCGTTGCTCGGACTGTGGCTGGCACGCTGATCAATTTCTATGGGAATGTGATGTTTGCGATATGCGGGTTTGCAGGAGGTGCAGACAGGACTACAGGCACTAGAGCACTACGACGAGAGTCTCTGTGAAAAAGCAATTCCGAGTCGCAGGAGACAACGGGAGCTGGATGTCTTCAACACCCCCCCACACCATGCTACGGGATCTCGGTGCGACAAGAAGACCGAATAGTGAACTTGACTCCAGAGTTCGGCTAACGACATGAGAACGACAGGTTATCATTTGATGGTTTGTGACCTTCTGTTCCCGAAACATCCGACATGGTGGCGGAGATCTTAGATATACCTTCCGAGGTGCATTGCCACTCCTTTACGCTTCGTGAATCTTTCCCAATGCCCGACAGCCCTTCGCTTGCCCGCCTGCCCGCTTGTCTCCACTTCCCTCTGTTCCGCGCTCCATCAATCGAAAGCCATTTTGAATCCAGCAGGGCCCCCCAGTATCCATTTCGCATTGTTTGAATCACAAGACTTAGAGGCCAGCGAATGTGTTCAGGACGGGGAAGGTGTGCTTTTTATGATCCCTCAAGGGAGAGATGAATATTAGTGTTTTGCTCTATACCTGAGAAAATAAAAAGGGCATGCAAGCAGACTAGATACAAGAGAGACAAAATGAAAAAAAAAAGACCACATTTTTAACTCACTCGTGCTTGACATCCACCTTTGCGTTGGCAACATCCTGGAACCCTTTCTTGGGCGCACGAATCTTCAACAAACCAGCCTCCAGCGTGACGTTGACGTTCTCTACGTCGGTCGGGAAATTGACGTATCGGCGAAAAGGGCCGACTCTTCTCTCTCCAATCAACAGGTGGACTCCGCCCGCGTGAGGCTCTGTTTGTTCTTCTTCCACCTTTGCGTTTTCGGCATTGCCATAGTCTGGCCTCTCGACCTTGCCCGACAGCAGTAGGGATCGGTTGCCCGTCCAGGTCACGGTGATGTCTTCGGGCTTCTTGACGCCTGGTACTTCGATCTCGATGAGGTATTCCTTGATGGCATCGCGGAAGTCCAAGTCTGGTTGGTTGGGGTGGTCTTCTGGTCTTGGGTGACGGCGCGCGATGTATTGGAGGAGTGACTGGTGCTGGTGGTGCCGCTCATGAGGGTTGTCCACCAATGGAGGTGGGTAGTCATAGTAGTACGCGTAGGCCATTGCTTTTGGGATGTCTTGTCTTGAGATTGACAAGAGGTTTCAGATGAAATTGAGGTTATGAGGTCGCTTCTGGTTGCGGTTGTCCTTGTAGTGATGTGCCTCTGCACTGCAGCTGCTCTAGTATTTATCAATGGAGTTCTTAGGAGAAAAACGCGAAAGAAATCTCGCTGAGTCGGAGAGGGACACGCATATTTATTTACCCCTACCTGATTCTAGAGCTCGAGGCGGGGCAAGATCCTGGCGGCAGAGCTCGAGCTCCCCATTGCTCGGTCCTTCGTGTGCCGACTGAGAACCTCTGAGATCTTGTGACCATTGAGCTCTCTCGCAGTGCCATGGACTTGGTTTTCGGAGCTATTGCTATAGGCGAGGTCCTGGAAAAGGTCTGGGTCCTTGGGGAGGTCGGTTTGGCTCCGGTGGCAGCCGATGAAATGACTTCTAGTGAGTGGCTAAACTCCATGATCTGTCTTTGACATGAAGAGCTACGGGACTTGGAAAGTTGCCATTGGGTGCTCATCTCATGACTGCAAGGGGAAAGTAGCTCACATCATCATGAGATGGCGAGGTGGTGATATGCAGGAGTGGAGTGATGTTCCAATTGCTGAGTGGCTGTCATTACGCAACAAATGTAACGTGATTACCAAGTCCGTTTCGATGCCCTTCAGGGGAACAGCTCAAGCTGGCGCAGGACTGAGGGAGATTCAGATAGAACATATCACGGAAGTCCCGTGTTCGCTTCATGATTGTTGGCCAGGCCCGTCTCTGGAGCCATCTCAGAGGGGGCAGATACTGGGGAGTCAGGAACTGGAGGGACCTCAATGACGCCGTCAAATGACAGTCATTACAAATTGACTATACCAAATACATCCTCGGCAAACGCCTAGCTACCCTTGTTTCTTGGAAGCTACTTGTACCGAGGCGCGCACCAAATGTATTGTTAACGCTAGTAAGAGAATGACGAGATGATCAAAAGACGATAGACTTTATTTTCGTTGCCCCTTACAACGGCCCCCGGAGATATCGGAGCTCAGTACTTAGCGCCTATAGCGCCTAGCGAGACTGGAAATATAGGTTAGGCGGCCGCCTATTAGATCTGACTTATAGCTAAGAGATAGGTAGGAGTGCCTACAAGCTCAGAAAATCTCCTTTCGTAGTAAGTAATATTTGTCATTTGAATTAGCGTAAACAGTACTTTTGGTGCGCGCCTCGTACCCTGATGGTTTATTCCAACTTCTTCTTTGTTGAACCGGTCCGTGTCCTCTTCAAAGTTCTCTCTATCGTATGATACCATATGATACCATATGATCTAAAATGATCCTACAGGTAGAGGGTGTCTACTTGTGCTTGTGGAAGGAATGGTTTTCGCCGCACGTGCCGACAATATGTCTACTCACCTCCAATCTCTGTCCGCTCATTTGCCTTGAAGCAAAAAGCTAAGTCTTGGCTAACTGTCTCCTGAATGATGATGGTTGCCTACAATCCACTGAAGTGAGATGTCGACGACACGTGCGGGTCGAAGCATTCGATCCTCAACTTGTGATCCTCGTATCCGACTTGGCTAAATCTTACAGAAGCTTCTCGCTGGACCCCGGACCTGGGGCCGTGGAGTTGGGATCAAATGCGTCACACGTGTCTACATATCTGTAGGACAGGCAGGGGAAAGAGATGGACTACAAGTACAAATATGTAAGGAAGGGCTCGCTGGGACCACCTTTCGCTTCTCTCCCCTGGCAAAGACCCACCAAAGCATTTGCAAATTCCAGAAAGGTTCCTGATTTGCACAAGCCGACTCTTGAGTATCACGATCAAACGTTCGATCTTGAACTTCAACGCTCCTCCAAAACCATCAAAACCCTGAAACGGCATCCGACAACCTCATCATGTCAACACTTGAGTGCCTGCTCCACCCTCACCACATCTCGTTGATTGACACGCACTCATTGCGTGCCAAGCTCAATCATGTGGGTGACGCCTACTACAACGTTGACGGCTTACCATCGCATCGCGGGGTACTGGCTCCAAAGTTCGACGTCTTCGAAATAGAAGGGGATGTAGGGGGATGGCTTCTGGTTGGCGATCTGCCGGGGATCGATTCTGCCGATGACATCAAGATTGAGTGGTTGGATGGTAGTACTATCTTCGTCCGTGGGAAAAAGGAGACATCGTCAATCCCGACTTTCGGTGAGACAGGAAGCACGATCATGAAGACTGTTCACAAGGAGAGACATGAAGGACTCTTTGAGCGTTCTGTTACATTGCCCGCAAAAGCGAACGCCAACGGGACGAAGATAGAGGTGAAAAGCGGAGTTGTCTTTGTGAGAATCCCGAAACAGAACTAGGCAGGGGCTGTGTGAACGGGGAGGATGCGAGGGAGAAGCTGTAGTGTATATTGAATGGTATTGGGAGCGGACATTTATTGTCCAAGTCAGTCTCCGCTTTTATTTGGGGGCTTGTTAGTGTTAATATCAACTGGACCTTTTATTTTTATTTCCTTTGCACCTCTCATCGCTTTGTTTCCATTTCTGCCACATCCCATAAGCCGTCCTTCTGGCGACAACTGCCCTTGTCATGATGACCGACCCTGGCGAGGCTGACCACGTTGTCCAATCAGCGGACGCTCAGCTCACTGGGGGCGCTAATTCTTTAGCGCCCAGGCACGTGACAGGACCAATTCTCCGAATGGCCTTGTGCCTTGCTAAATTTGGCCCATTCGGGGCTTGGGCCTCTGTCGAACGTCCCATCCAGCAATTCACGCTACTCACATTTCATCGTTTCGATGGATGAATCTGATCTGATCTGACAAGCCACCATTTCTCGACGGCACACTCGACCAACTGTCAAGACCTTCCATCAACTTCATCCTATTCTTTTGCGCATATTTCCTGGCCGGCTGTCTAACAAGTTCCCAAGCTTTGCCGCAACGCGTCGTCTCCTCGATTCCCACTCCTTGTCCGACCTCCGTCTCCTTGTCCCTCGCGCTCCGTCAGAGCCTCCTTCACCCTCTACTACCGTTCTCTGGGCTGGGACATTTTCGAGTGTCCTTCGCGAAGAACCGCACAATCGACACGCCTTCGACTATTTCAATTTCGTCACATCCACATCCAGCCTGGGCATTGGCTGCGACAACTTTAACCGGTAACGCACCACAACATCTCCACGATTCCCCTCGTCCCTCATTAATTCTCCGAGTGTTTTGCTGCATGGACTTGCTACAGTCTCAGGCAAGAGACGCGCACAACACGGTCATCCGACAAAAGTCAGTCACTTCCCTCGGGTGCGGTTGAATTGAGTCCGCAGCAAGACAAGTGTCGAAGAGACTCTCGGCGTCGAATATTTACTGGCCCATTTGCCATATATTCATGCAACGCCTTCTGAGCATATTTCAAACATGGCAGCCCCGCTTGACGAGCTGCACCAGGGGAACTCTGGCAACATGAGATACACCATAGGCACTTCTCGCAACCAGAATGAACTTGCTCCACAGAACTCCAACGGTCAGTACCCATACACTCCGCCAACCCAGGCAAACGGCAACACAAATGAAGTTCCGTACGATAGTGATGCCAGATATTCCTCCGATAGCAGGACTGGAAGAAAGAGATCCGTGGGTGGGCAAGGAGAACGGAGCAGATCAAGAACAAATGGCAGTGCCGGAAAGTCATCCAATTCGGGAACCAGACAATGTAGAAAGTGTGGTGAGCCTCTGACTGGTCAGTTCGTCCGTGCGCTTGGGGGAACATTTCACCTCGATTGTTTCAAATGCGCCGACTGCGGCCAAATTGTCGCCTCGAAGTTCTTCCCTGTGGATGCCGAGGATGGATCTGGACAATTTCCCCTATGCGAAACAGATTACTTCCGCCGTCTGGACCTGCTATGCTTCGAATGCGGCGGCGCACTTCGTGGCTCCTACATCACAGCCCTGGATCGAAAA